AATATGGCATTTCTTCAAAATATTAAAAATAGAATTATTGTATGATCCAGCAATTTCACATCTGGGTATGTACCCCAAAGGATGGAAGGCAGGAACTCTGAGATATATTTGTATCCCTAGGTTCTTAGCAGCTCTACTGGCAACAGCCAAAAAGTGGAAGCAACCTAAGTGCCCCTCAATGAATGAATGGATAAATGAAATGTGCCGTATCCACATGATGAATATTTTTCAACAAAAGAAAAAGAAACAAACATATATACATATACATATATATATACATATATATATATATAGGAGTGCCTGGGGCTCAGTTGGTGAAGTGTCTGCCTTTGGCTTGGGTCGTGATCTCAGGGTCCTGGGATCAAGCCCTATGTCAGGCTCCCTGTTCAACAGGAAGTCTGCTTCTCCCTCTCCCTTTGCCCCTCCCTCGACTTATGCTTGCTTTCTCAAATAAATCTTAAAAAAAAAAAAGAAAAAAAAAGAACATTTGGACAAATGCGATAACAAAGACGAACCTTAAGGACATACTCCTAAGTGAAGCAAGCCAGTCACAAAAAGATGAATCCTGTATGAGGCCACTTCTAGGAGGTACCCAGACTAGCCAAATTGATGAGACTAAAAATAGAATGGCAATAGGGTGCCTGGCTGGCTCAGTGGGTGAGGCAAGTGACTCTTGCTTTTGGGGTTGTGAGTTCAAGCCCCATGTTGGATACAAAGCTCATTAAAAAAAAAGAAGAAAGAAGAAAGAAGAAAGAAGGAAGAAGAAAGAAGGAAGAAGAAGGAAGAAAGAAGAAGAAGAAGAAGAAGAAGAAGAAGAAGAAGAAGAAGAAGAAGAAGAAGAAGAAGAAGAAGAAGAAGAAGAATGGTGGCTGCCAGGGGCTGGGAGGAGGGGGAATGAGGAATCATTGTTATTTTTATGGAGTTTTCATTTTACAAGATCAAGAGAGTTCTGTGGATGGTGGTGGTAATGGTTGCACGACAATGTGAATGTACCATTGAATTGCACACTTGAAAATGGTAAAGTTGGTAAATTTTATGTCAAAACTCATCCAAGAGTTCACTTAAGATTTGAGCATGTCACTGTATATAAAATATTGTACCTAAAAATGAAAGAGAAAAGGATAAATGGATAATAAGCTTACATCTTTATTCTTCTCCTATTTGCTATCCAGCACGTAACAGGCAGCTCTTTCTAGAGTCTCTGTGAGCCTCCGGCCCAGCCACTGTCGCTACTGCGGTCACCTCTTTTCCTCACTGGGCTTCCAGCTCTGCCCTCACACCCCCCTGTAACGACGCCTGTGAAAACCTAAGTCTGATCACCATTTCTGCTCAGAACCTCTGATGGCTCCCAACTCGCTCAGACTGAAGCCAAAAGCCATCCTTTCCAAAGCCCACAAGCCCTGTGCGATTAGCCTCCCAAACCACCCTGATCTCCCCTCATTTCCTCCTTGTTCCCCTCTGCTCTGGCCACACTTGCCTTCTCCTTGCTTTTTCTCAAACACACCAGGCATTCTTCACACTGACTCTTCCCTCTGCCTGGGATGCTGTTCCACCAGCTAGCTGCCTGTCTCACTCCCTCACCTCCCCAGAGAGGCCCTCCCTGACCACGATGTAAAACAGCCAATGCTCTCTCCCACCTACACACTCACTCACCTGTTCTGCATTTCAGCGGTGTCCTTACCGCCCCTCCCAACACATAGCTCTGTATGTGCCCTCTACCTCCCCCCAGAACGCCAGCCCCAGGAGGGCAAGAATCTCTTGTTCCTGGCTGTCATGGAGTCCATGCCCAACACCTCAGGGCTGACGGAATGCACAGATGAGTGAGGACACTGTCTCCAGGGCCTCGGGTGGTGTACACAGAGGCTCTTGGGCATCACTCCCTCCCATCTCCCACAGAGGAATGGCACATGCCGGGCCTTGGTTTCAGGCACAGCCCCGGGCAGAATGCTGAGAAGGGCTGAGAGGCTTCCTTGCAGACAGCCGACTTCCGCTGCATCTCACCTGGCCCCACCTCTGGGTGTCCCCCATGCCCCACCCCCCAATTCTGAGCCAAGTCAGCCTTTAGATTCTACTGCCAGTGTGGGTAAACTAGAGGAGGCAACTACATCTTGGGAGGTGTAGTTTAAACATGTTGGCCAAATAGGGCTTTCCATTGGGGTGAGGGGCGTGAGCACTCAATCAGTAAGCCAGTTACCGGGGCCTCTACTCGGGCACCTCATTCGCTGCCAGTCCTCAAAAGCCAGCTTCTCTTCTGATCTCTTGTGCACTTTCCCTCCATGACCATCTCCGTTCACCTTTCAGAAAACCCCAGCATTGGCCCCGGGGGACCTTTCTCTCCCCTCAAGTATGGACTACTCTGTCTAGAGCTCTCCAACCTATGCATGTGTTTAGACTCTCTGAAGAAATGGCTGAAGATACACGTTCCCAGTAAAGATACAACCTCCAAGGAATTTTGACTCAGCAGGTGGGGCCCAGAAATGGCATTTTTAACAAAGACCCCAGGTGCCTGATGCCGTGGCCACCTGGGTTCAGGAGGGCCTCGAAGGAGAGGGCACTGGACAGGAGAAAACTGGAATTTGTGGCTGAAAAACCTGCTTCTGTCTGAGGGGAGGGGAGAAAAGGGTTTTCATCTTCCAGCTGCTTTTCAAAATGAACATTTTCAGATAAATTCACATCACTGGTCACCTGTTTCTGCAACTTCTAGAAACCCCAAGATCTGCAGGAGTTCCTCCCGTGTTGGTGGAGGGCCATAGAGCAAAGAGGATACCTCACAAAGGTATCTTCTGTCCAGGACAGTGTGTGTGTTGGTCACTGGGGGGACCCTATTCTCAAATAATCCATGACTTCACCTATAAGAGAGTCAACAGATGGGATCCCTGGGTGGCTCAGCAGTTGGGCACCTGCCTTCGGCTCGGGTCATGTTCCTGGGATCCAGGATGGAGTCCCGCATCAGGCTCTCTGTGAGGAGCCTGCTTCTCCCTCTGCCTATGTCTCTGCCTCTCTCTTTCAGTCTGTGTCTCTCATGAATAAATAAATCCTTAAAAAAAGAGAGGAGAGATCCTTAAAAAATCCTTAAAATCCTTAAGAGAGAAAGAGAGAGTTGATACTTAATTTGCTGAAGTTTTATTTTGTAACATATGTTTACAATTACCCATCACGGTGACCATCTGTTAACACAATGAAGTCTTAACTACCTGATTTTGAACCTGGGTGCTGGGGAATCCCAGGCTTTCCTCATCTTGAAGAGTCCAGTGTGCTGCGTTTTGTTTTGCGCAAACCCAAGAAAAACCTCGATGCACACACATGCGGAGGAAGAGCTACAAACGGAAACCTGTTTCTTTCTTTCCTGCATCTTCAGTGAAGACTCATCCAGGTTTTTGAAATCAATTGATGCAAGATGTTTATTTTCAAGGCAGAATTGGTAACAACATCTAACAACTGTTCACGTTCTCGGACACAAAAACTGAAGTCAGAAGAGAGCCGCCCCCAGACACATAAAGGGCTAAAACTCTGCATGACAATACTATTATTGAGCGCCTTGTGAATACACTGACGTGCTATCATAAAGCTGAGACTCACCGCAGAATTAGAGCATGTGAATTACAAAGGGAAACTTCTTCCAGAGCGTTACGTTACAGGGCATGCGCAGGTCGCAGTGTCTCCAGCTTCCAACCTTTGTCATCAGCCACACTTCTAAGGAGTTTGGCTGTATGCAAACAGATGGCAGAAAACACCTTCTGCAGACCTGTACAAAATCCAAGTTCATTTATGAACACAAGGCAATATTCTGATCATCTCCTATATGACTGGTTTGGCTCAGGATGCTGAAGTCCCAGCTTTTTTTTTTTTTTTTTAAACACATGAATCAGAGATTTGGATTACACCTTTGAGCATGCCTTGGGGCTCCCAGGACACTGAAAACCACTGGTGTTGGGTATCAGGCCACCTGCCCCTAAACACACACACACACACACACACACACACACACACGGGCGACACGATATGCTAGTCTATTCAGAGAACAGAAATTAACAGCCAGCTTTTTTTAGAATTTTTTTCCCTCTCTTACTACATACAATGGGAGAAGTGTCTTCAGCCCCAAAGATGCGGAGAGTTTGGTGACGCTGGCTGGAATTAGGGCTGGGAAGCCAGAAGTGCGAGTTCTTCCCTATTGGTAACCCCTTATCCCTACAAGCTTCCTGAGAATGTCTGACCCCAAGTGGGAATCCAAGTACCATTTTTAGTCACAGAACCTATAACGCAAACACTTCAAAGCCTAAGTGTGCGTTCTTGTCCCCAAAAATGAACTCCTGGGACCCTCTGGCTAGTTAGCTGGAGGATGGAAGTCGAAGAGGAGGAGGAAGAAGGAAGGCAGGTCTGCTTTGAAGAGCTCTGCTTAACTTCCCCGTGGTGGAAACACAGAGAAGGAGAAAATGCCAGGCCCTGCACACAGATCTGGGCTCACTATCCAGGAAGCAGGGAATGAGAAAGGAAGGCAAAAACATTAACAGGGACCCTGCCCGTGTACGTATAAGTGTATACTCTAGAATATTCCCAGACTGCTTAGCGACTTTCCAACCTCTGAAGGTGAGTAGAGGGGGATGTGCAAAATCAGGCCTGGCAGAGAAAAGAGCAGAGAGGTATACCTCCCTCCCTTAACCCCTCCTACCTAAGAGTTTTCCTCCAAGAGCCACATCTCTCCAAACTGGATCCCTAAGAGTCAAAAGTCATGGTTCATTCAATAAAAAAAAAAAAAAACTCTGTTCCCAGTGTGATACTTCTTGGTCTAATTTCAACTACTCAGGTATGGGTGGTCCCCAATCCAAGCTTTCTGGGTTCTGTGGACATATTAGAAGAGCTCAGGAGGGAAGCAGGTGTCATTCGGGATTTTTTTTCTTCCTTCTTTGGACCTTTTAAATGCTTGAACATTTCTATCCCCCAACCAGGCCTCCAGAAAACTCCACCCTCAGAGCCACCTACTCTGACAAACGTTATCACCCTAAACTACTGGATTCTTATCAGAGCTCGGTCAGATGGAGTGGTGGAATGACGTGGGACTACCACAGCAACACTCACCAACAAACAAGAGGTGGGGGGTTTGCTTTGCCCTTGGGTGTCCCCAGGGTTGGCCTTCAGGGGCTCCTAGGAGGGAGGTCAGGGCTCTCGCCCTCTGAAGCCTCAGCTGGTGTGTCATCTGCCTCCTCCGCTGCACTGGGATCCTCCTCACACACCACCTGACCTGCCATGCCCCCGAGTGCCTCTGCGCCCACCTGCTGCTCCTGCTCTTCCCCACTCATCCACTTGCTGGCACAACCCAAATGACTTCTGTTGCCATTCTGACCACTAGAGGCAGGAGGAGAGCCTTCTGGCTTGGCCTTTGGGCCCTGAGACGTTGAGGCTGGCAACCCCTCAGGCTGGGGACCTCGGAGGGCCTTCCGAACCGAGGCATCTCTTCTTGAGCCTGGCCCTTTCTTTGCGATCGCTGGCTTCTTCTTGGCATCTTCTGAATCAACAAGGACGTATGAAACAGGGCCCAAGCTCACCTTCTTCTTCTTTCTCATGGGGGCAGGACTCTTTGCCAAGGCCCAGCTCATGGCTTTCTTCTTTGGGGGGCCCTCCTGACCGCCATCTTGGTCTGACTCCAAAGCAACCCCAGGACTCACAGCTTCTGACGGGGGATCGTGGGATGGGGTACTGGGAGCCTTCCAGGCACATTTTGCCACAGGCTTCTTCAAAGCTGACTCCTCCTGCTTCACACAGGGCTTTTTGCTGCTGCTGATATATTCTGAGACCTCCATATTTTCAGCACCATCAGCCTCAAGAACCTCCGAGGAGCCTGAGCTGTTGGAATGCTGGCCTTTGGGCTTCTTCCAAGGCACTGATTCCTGCTTTGGGTTTTTTCTCTGCTTCTTTCTCCTGGAGCGATTTTTAGCTCCAGCTCTGAGAACCACAGGTTTGGGAGGGTCCCCTTCATCTCCCAGGTCATGCCAGCAGTCAGGATTCTCGATCTTCAAAGCAGAACCTACTTCTGCAGCTCGCCCTGGCTCCTTCTTGATCTTCCTCCGTGCTGCTGAGGCTGAGGTTGCCACTGCCTGGGCATCAGCCACTTCTTGCACCCTAGCTTCCTCGCGGCTGCGGATCTCCGCATCCATGTAGAAGATGATTTGCACCACTGCCCCCAGGAGCACCCCAGAGCTTCTGCCCAGTTCTCTCCGGGCTGATTCTGGGGGCGTGGGGGGTGGCCGAGCTGGAGTAGGCGGACCACATCCTCCCAGGTGCGCCCCTCCGCATCCAGGAATTCATTCAGATTTTTTAAAAACTCAGCATCCTGGGTGGGGTCTCTACAAACCACTCTCCAGACGCCCCCCCTTCCTGGGAATTCGCGGGGTATGGCCCTGAGATTCACACCCTCTCCGACCTCAATCAGGGCAGCTTTGGCATTCTCTTCCCTCAGAAAAATCTTATTGAGCACGAAGTATGGGCCCAGCGGGGAGAGGACCCCATTTAAAGTCTCCTCGATTTCTGCTTGACCACAGTCCTCTGGGATGCCCGTGACCAACAGGGACCTGTGGATGTCCACTTCCATCCCCCGGCACCAGTCCTCCAGGAGGTTCATGGCCATGGTCGCGACAACCTGGCACCTCTAATCCCACGTGTACTCGAGAGTCTGTAAGGTGGACCAGGGAGCCAGCAGCCCCTAAATATTAATCCTGTAAGGTGACAGAAGAGGGAGGTCAGAGTCCCCGCAAGACGGCCAGGCTCCGAGCTCTCCGCTGCCCCCCGCGCCGCAGGCCCAACCCGGCCTCGCGCTCGCCCAGGCCCCTCCTCCCCGAACCGGGCCCCGGGTGCTCACACGTGTCCTGCGACGGGAAACCGCGCTCCGCCCGCCCCGGGCCCGGCTGGCGGCCGCCGGGCTGGGATCTGGCAGCTCCGGCCCACGACGGGCAGCGCGCCAGGCGCCGGCTCGGCCCACCCAGGCCGCCTGCCCCGCGCTGCCGGGCCGAGAAGCCGGCGGCCGCCCCCGCTCCGGCCCCGCTCCGGCCCCGCTCGACCCCCGCGCGGCGCTCGGCGTCTCGCCTCGAGCCCCGCAGCTGCGCGGAGCCGAGGCCGGCGTCCCAGCGCGCGCTTGCGCACTCGCGCCCCTGCGCCCGCGGTCGCCATGGCAACCAGCCTCCGCTGGGGACGCGCCCTCCCGCCTGCGGAGCCCAGCGCGCGAGCCGAGGGCGGGGGGGGGGGGGGGGGGGGGGGGGGGACGGCCCGGGGGAGGGGCGGCCCTGCAGCTCCCCCTCGCGAAGGGTCTGCGCGTTCTCTGGTTTTCCCTACGGACTCACTCTTTCCACTCTTTTCACTTCAACTGGGCCTCGGGGACGGAGGTGGAGTGCCCTGACTTGTGCGATGGCATCCGAGCCCTCCTAGCCTCTGCCTTTCTGTTGGGTTGAGCCCACGGGATTCCTGGGAGCCACCAGAAGTCCGAGGGCCAGAGAAAGGAGCAGCTTTGATGGCCCTGAGGTCCTCTAACAGAGCCGCAGCTCCTGACAGCTCTCTCACTCAGCGAAGGTTACCCTGGTTCCAGAAATATCTGGGAGCTTCTAGAAACTTCCCGCCTTCTGCCCCACGTGCCCTTCAAGCCTGGGTATAGTCCTTCACCTCTCCTTCCTTGCTGGTTTCCTCAACTTGTTGCCCACAAGCAACACGTTTGTTGATAGTTAATGAAAAACACTTCTCAGTGACCCAGTTTGAGCTGCTGATTGCTGTCAGGACCTCACTGATTCACCTAGGAACGCCGCTTACTAGCTGTGCAGTCTCGGAAGCTTTGAGCTCTCTGGGCGCCTTTCTCTTCTCCCTATAGGGAATACCAATAAAAACCTTCCTGATTGGGGCACCTGGGTGGCTCAGTGGTTGAGCCTCAGCCTTTGGCTTAGGTCCTGATCATGAGGTCCTGGGATGGAGTCCTGCATCAAGCTCCCTGCAAAGAGCCTGCTCCTCCCTCTCCCTATGTCTCTGCCTCTCTCTCTCTCTATGTGTGTGTCTCTCATGAATAAGTAAATAAAGTCCTTAAAAAACCCCACAAACCTTCCTGATCAAAACGTTGAAGGTTCAGGAATATCACATATGAAAGATGCACTGAAGTACAATTTTGGCTTGAGTATTCGACCAAAATCTGTTATTTGAATTCCATTTGGAATTGGCCTTGGCAAGACCAAATAGCCAAATGCGTGTTCCACTGTCATCCCTAGCAATCCTGAACTTCGACATGATCAGTCCTTTGATCTTGCAGTATGTGTGTGGTTGCCCAAGTTCCCACGATACTTCATGCAAAAGAAAAAGAAAAAAAGTCATTCAAATGGTTAAATGTGAATATCCCATTCCAATAGACACTCTAGCTTTAAGTAGTGTTTTAAAATCTCATGTACTTTACCTGTGGAAGTGCTGTTAATCAGCTGAAGAATGAATGTGTACCATCATCATGCAGTGGTTTTAAAACATGGTCATAAGTTCTCTGATACTCCTGTTGAAAGGTGATGATCTCTGTGTCTCTTACTGAATCTCAGCATACTTGTATATTCTTTAACCAATGGAGAGTGTGGTCAAAGGGAAATGATTGGCTCAAGACTATGGTGGAAAGGAATCTATGTGACTTCTCAGGATATGTTATAAAGGGCCATGCAACTTCTTTCTTATTTGTTGGGATATTTTCATTCTTGGATCCCTGAGCTCCAAGTAAGAAGGTAAACTATCCTCTGGCTGCCGTGTTGTGGGGAAGCTCAAGCCACCTAGAGAAGCCACGTGTGTGTACTCCAGTCAACAGTTCCCAGCTGAGTCCGGCCTTCAAATGATCTCAGCTCAGGCACCAGACATGTGATTAAGGAAACTTCTAGATGATTGTAGCTCCCAACCATTTGACTGACTCCCTGACCATTCGACCATTTACATCTTCCCAGTTGAGGCCCAGTCGTCACACAGCAGAAACACACTATCACTGCTGTACCCTGTGCAAATTTCTGACCCACAGAGTTAATGAGTGTAACAAAACAGTTGTCTACACCACTAAGTTTTGGGATTTCTTCTCAGGCAGCAAGAGATCATTGGAAGATCCTGCAAAGGTGAAATGCAGCAAAGATGAATGATGATTGATAAAGCATTGCTACAAAAGAAAACAAAGTAACAACTTTAAATCTCCCAAAAAGATTCCCCCAAGCAGATTTTTCAAGCAGTGCACAAAGATTTGCTTTCATGGGGTTTCAATTCTGTGGGATTGTTTCAATGAAATAGTATCATCACCATCAACTAGATTTTCCAGCTTGTGAGTTGAAGAGGAAATAAGTTATCTACTTTCAGACAGTTACTTTTAGCAAAGAAGGGAAGCTTGATAGTCTGGTGACATGTCACCATCAACAATGCTGGTCAAAGATGTCTTGTTCCCTCATAAGCCATTTTGTATCATAAATGGGCAGCAGAGAGGTCAGAAGAGCCAGCTAGCAGCTGTCCCTGTTACTATATTACACTGGCAACTAAATTTTTTGCATCCCGAGTGGCTCAGTGGTTTAGCACCACCTTCGGCCCAGGGCGTGATCCTGGAGACCTGGGATCGAGTCCCACGTCGGGCTCCCTGCATGGAGCCTGCTTCTCCCTCTGCCTGTGCCTCTGCCTCTCTCTCTCTCTCTCTCTCTGTGTGTGTGTGTGTGTGTCTCATGAATAAATAGATCTTTTAAAAAAATCTTGTAATTTTGAAAAAATAAAATTGTGGGGGCACTTGGGTGACTCAGTGGTTGAGCGTCTGCCTTTGGCTCAGGTTGTGATCCCAGAGTCCCGGGATCGAGTCCTGCATCAGGCTCCCCACAGGGTGTCTGCTTCTCCCTCTGCCTAGGTCTCTGCCTCCCTCTGTGTGTCTCTTGTGAATAAATAAATCTTTTACAAAAATAAAATTGTGATACAAATTTAAAAGTTTTAATAACGTTTCAGGTTTATTCCTATATTCTCTAAATTTTATCCCATAATGGCAATCTTCGCCTGTGACCAAATACTCAGCCATTCAGTATTTTGTCAAAATATGTATTTGGTCCTGACACATAGCCAGCTCTTATTATTATTGTAACAGCAGGAATTCTGATGGATCTTTGCAGTATTGCTCAAACTTCTTTTACGCTCTCTCCAGTGACCTGGCGTTTGTTCTGGGATGGTTGAACCGGTGGTCCTGGAAAGTAGCCAGAGGGTATGCATAACTGCTACCAAATGGGATGTTCTTGTTAGAAAATTCTGGCAACTCGTACTGAAATCTAGTGCTAGTCCAGGGAACTGTTGTAAATTTGCTGATTGAGAGTAGTTCAATTAAGAAAGCACAAAATCCTGATGGAGGAGGAAGACCGTGGATAGAACTCTCATACATGGTACCTGGCTGGGGGCAATGCAAATTTGGGCAATGCAATGCAACTCTTTAACTGTACCTACTAAAGCAAAAACGTGTATAAACTCTACAGTTTAGGAACTCCAATCCCAGGTGCATATGCCAAACAGAAACATGTTCAATAAAAGCCATGGGTGATGATATTCTTTGCAGCACTATTCGTAATAGTTGTAATCTAGAAGCTACCCAAACGCCAATCAACAATAGAATGGATAATTGTGGCATGTTCACACAATTAAATACTACTCGATTAGAAAGAGTGATCTACAACTACACACAACAGTATGGACGAATCTTGCAACCATGATGTTAAGCCAAGGAAACCAGACACAAAAGAAACCAGACAAAAGCATGTACATTGATTCTATTTATTATATGGAGTACAGAAAACAGAATCACTCTGTTATTAGAAGTCGGGACAGTGGTTTCCTGTGGAATGTCTTAATGACTTGAAATGTAGGACTCTCAGGGGGAGGGAGAGCTGGTGATGTTCTCTTTCTCTTTGTGGGTGTTGGTTATGGGTGTGTTCAGGCTGACAAATTCAGCACGCTCTATGCCTGTGACATGTGCACTTTTTGGTAAATATTTTATACTGCAATAATAGGCTTTGCTGTTTTGCTGATGGGTTGGATGTGAAATGCAAGGGAAACCAAGCAAGAGAGACTCCTAAATTTTTGGCATGAGCATCTAGAAGGAGAGGGATGCCGTTTCTTTTTATATGGGGAAGGTTTGATGGAGAATGCATTTGGGGTGGAGGGGAGAAGGTGAACACAAGTTTTGTCTGGACCACGTTGAGTTTAAGATGCTGGTTGAGGGTCTCCAAGACCACACTCAGGTTCAATGGTTTCGTAGGACTTATGGAACTCAGAAGAGTTATTGTACTTGCAGTTATAGTTTATTACAGCCAACAGATACCAGTTAAAATCAGCAAACGAAAAAGAATAGATAGGATAGAGTCCAGGAGAGATCAGGCATGAGCTTCAACTTGTCTCTCCCGGTGGAGTCATATGAACAGTGTTAACTTTTTCTTTCTTTCTTTTTTTTAAAAGATTTTATTTATTTATTCATGAGAGAGAGAGAGGCAGAGAGGCAGAGATACATGCAGAGGGAGAAGCAGGCTCCATGCAGGGAGCCCGACGTGGGACTCAGTCCTGGGACTCCAGGATCACGCCCTGGGGCGAAGGCAGGCACTAAACCATTGAGCCACCCAGGGATCCTTAGTGTTTATTTTTTCCAGCAACAATGGGTGACAATGCATAGGGTATTGCCAACAGGGCAGCTCATCTAAGCCTAAGTGTCCACAATTTTAATTTCTGAGTCTATCACATAGGTGTGGAACATCTGTGTAGTTGAGCTTAATTACTCAGCCTCCAGCTCCTCCAGAGGTCAAAGTGATGGTGCATGGGGGCACCTGAGGGCACCTTGGTTAAATGTCTGCCTTCAGCTCGCATCATAATCCATGGGTCCTGGGATTGAGCTCCAGGTCGGGCTCTCTGCTCAGTAGGGAGTCCGCCTCTCCCTCATGCTCTCCCTCTCTCAAATAAATAAATAAAATTTTTATATTAAAAAAAAGTGATAGTGCATGGCCCAAGGCCCCCACCATGAGTGGTGGT